TGCCTGTAAATTTTCTTGCTTGGGGAATTTTGCAGTGGCCTTTGGCCAAAAACAAAAGAGTTCTATCCTAGGCTTTAAAAGTTTTACCTATTCTTTTAATTGAGGCATCAGTGGAAAGGATTTCAAGACTTCTTCAGCTAATTTTATATGAAAGTTCTGATTCTTTATCATTTATCACTGTATTAGCAATTTAAGAATGCTTTAAAATAAAATGATTACACCAGTGCCAGCACTGTGGTGCAACAGGGTTAAGCCGCTACTTCCAATGCTATCATCCGGCATCCTATATCAGAGCACCAGTTTGAGTCCCAGCTACTCAAACTACTTCCAATCCAGCTCCCTGCTAAGGTGCCTGGGAAAGCAGTGGATGGCCCAAGTGCTTGCGGTCCCTGCACTCATGTGGGAGACCCAGAAGAAGCTCCTGGCTCCTGGCTTTGGCCTGACTCACTCCTGCCATTGTGGCCATTTGGGGAGTGAACTAGTAGATGGACAATCTCTGTCTGTCTCTCCCTCTGTCATTCTGCCTTCCAAATAAATAAAATAAATCTTAAAAAAACAAAAGATATTAATGAATGTATGGTAGCTTCTATTTTGTCATAGCTTAGTGCTGTTCTGCATTAGATTTAAGATGTGCAGCTGTAATGTACCTAGTGTGAAAGATTCAAAAGAAAACTCTTTCATCTCAATTTCATTAGCAGGCAAATGTGTTTTCCAGAATTTTTCAATGGCTATTGTTTAAGGTTCCCGCACTCTCCTCTGGGCAGACACAGATTGTGCTACGAAGCCATTTCCCAGACTTTCTTGGCTTGCTTGCTGAATGTGTGGTTCTACCCCTTACCTTTGGCTTCCCCTACACTGTTCATGAACAATGTCATTTGCTTTTAGTGCAGAGGGGACTCCCATCATGTTCTCATTCATGAAGTGCTCAAAGGGAAAGACTTGAACAAAGACTGCTTTTCTCTGACATGATACCTTCTAAAACAGAAAATTATGTCATATAAAATTTCACAGGGACCAAAGACAATATAAATGGCCTCTGTAACAAGTAGACTTCAAATACAAGACATGCTGAATATCGCATTGTTTTCTATTGCCTTCCCTGGGTCTCTGCCAAATGTCTTGGCTGCAATGGAGGCAGCTTTGGGGTAGAAAGGGACTCTACAAGGGTAGAGCCACAATCTGGTACTTTGCAGAAATTTTATCAAACTCTTTTACAATCCTAACTTAATAGGTAGGATCCACTTACAAACCATAAGGACTTTACAGTATATCACTAAAGAACTCTAACCTTCCTTGCCTGACCTATTATTGTTCAATGAAAAGAGGCAATGAGCCACATGGTTTTGTTCAGATACAAATTGAAGAATGGATTTTATGTCTAGAAAAAAAATCTATTGTGACAGTGAGGAGGAAAAAAGATACCCTTTTAAAAGTGAAAGCAAGAGAGAAAGGAAAAACCAGTCACAGATATTTAGAACAAAGACCAAAACCTTCTCTATCCACTAAGCATGAATTCAAAACTAATGCCCAGGGAGTGCAGTGGAGGATGGGAGTGAGCTGCCATATTAGTCTAAGAAGTTCAACAGGTGTTTATTGTTAAGCAAAAACTATATAACACAGTAACACCTTGATATATTACAGAACCAAACAAACAAACTTAAAGAATCTGATATGGCAGTTTCTTTTCTCAAAGGCATCAAATAATTTTAACTCCAGCTGCCACCAGTTTCATCTGACAACAGATTATTTGAAGGTGTGTCACTTTTGGTGCCACTATCACTTCACCTAAACTGCACAGAGTTTTAGCCTCAGAATAACTTTATCACCCACAGACTGTATGCAGACTAAATATAACATTTGTGCCAGATTCTGAATGGGATCTTATATCAAAATGCTCCCTTAATTATAGCTCTTTATTTCTCAAGCTGCTCCTTGAACTTGTCAGAAGCTGTAGTAACTAAAATTGGACTCATGCAGAAAAAAATGCATCTCAGGAAAGCCTGTGCAATAGCACTTCTCCTCTGCCAACGTGCACACCAGCAGGCAGCACGTCACAGAGCACGTCAGAACAGGCTCCGCAACAGCCACTCTGAAGTCAGTCTTCTAAAGCAGCCTGCTACAAGGGCATAATCATTTCATTTGTTCCACAAACATCTATTGAGTAACAGTACAGCAGGGCCTATGCTAAGTGCTGAGGGTAGGATGATTAGGTGTTCTAGGTCTGTACAATTCCTAAGGCTGAAAAGCAGAGGTCATATTAGCAAAACTATAAAAGAGAAAATAAGGTCATCCTCTTATTTTTCTATCAGAGGCAGCCATTTAGGCCAGTGCTGTGGCTCACTTGGCTAATCCTCCGCCTGCAGCGCCGGCACCCCGGGTTCTAGTCCTGGTTGGGGCACCGGGCACTAGTTCCGGTTGCTGCTCTTCCAGTCCAGCTCTCTGCTGTGGCCCGGGAGGGCAGTGGAGGATGGCCCAAGTGCTTGGGCCCTGCACCCGCATGGGAGACGAGGAGGAAGCACCTGGCTCCTGGCTTCAGATCCGTGCAGCGCCAGCTGTAGCAGCCATTAGGGAGTAAACCAATGGAAGGAAGACCTTTCTCTTTGTCTCTCACTGTCTATAACTCTCTCTGTCTCTCTCTCACTAACTCTGCCTGTCAAAAAAAAAAAAAAAAAAGAGGCGGCCATTTCCACACCCCACTCCAATTATGAAGGGACTGTGGCAGATGCAGAGTAGGAGAAAGAAGCGAGAATAACAAAAGGCATTAAGGGGTGAGGATTAGGAACAGCTCAATCTATACTCAATTCTTTTTTTTCTTCATTGATCAGATAAAGATGGACTAAGAAAGGGGAGGGTGTCCTGGGTTAAGGCTAAGACTACTGGTGATACTAGTGGAATGGGGTTATGGGAAATTGAATGGAGTTTCATGAACTTACAGGGAAGCGTAAAGTGACAAAAGCAAAGGCCTATGAAAGTGGAAGAAATGAGTCACCAACTGGTGTTTACATTTATACAAGTTGGCAGGAGAGTCATTAAAAAATCAGGCACCGCTGAGGACACAGTAGAGACGTCCATTCAAATAACTGGCAGCCACTGACTGCTCGTTGGATATGGGGTATGTGACATGTGCTGGCAGGAAGTAAATAAAAGGATAAGAAGAAATGAATCCTACACTACTGTAGTATTTGCAATGTCATGAAAGTTATAGAGTGTTACATAAGTATGTTATTAATAATATATTATTATTACAGACAAAGAAGTTATATTCTAGACAGACGGAGTAACCTGACGAACGCCACACAGCTATGCAGGATGGTATGATGGGCAAAGACTGAGCAGAGAACTTGAACATACATGACTAAGCACGTGTCAAGGCCATACACATGTGATCCCCAAGGAAGCCACGAGACAGGCTCTATGCTTCATGTCAGAAGAGAACTGCCTCAGGTACTTTGGAGAATTAAAATCACTGGAGAGTACTTAGTACACATCATATTACTACAAGGGAAAAGAAAAAAAGCAGTAGCTACCTCAAGACATATCTAATTAGATAAAAATGTCAGCCTTTTTCAGTTGGCTTTAAAAGACATAATATGGGGGCCAGCGCTATGGCACTGTGGCATAGCGGGTTAAAGCTCTGGCTTGCAGTGCTGGTATCCCACAGGGGCATCGGTTTGAGTCCCGGTTGCTCCACTTCTCATCCAGCTCTCTGCTATGGCCTGGGAAAGCAGTGGAAGATGGCCCAAGTGTTTGGGTCCCTGCAAGAGACCCGCAAGAAGCTCCAGGCTCCGGGCTTCAGATTGGCTCAGCTCTAGCTGTTGTAGCCATTTGGGAGTGAACCAGCAGATGAAAGACCTCTCTCTCTCTCTTTCAAATAAATAAAAGTTTTTAAAAATCTTAAAAAAAGACATATGTTACTCCAATTATGATAAATTTAATTGTGACCACAATTATCATCTCAGAGTAGTCCAAGAAAAGACCACCCAAATATGAATAAATGAACAGACACAATCCAAATCAGTGTGAAAAGGGAAAAACGAAGAAAAACTGAAGATACAGCTTTCTCATGAACTCAATTGTTGGCGACTTGGGAAATCATTGATTCTTTAAGTTCCCAAGATTGGCAGGGAGCAAATGCTCTTTGTTGCTATAAAACAATCTTGTTCCTATGAACACATATGTCCCTTTTATTCGTGAGGAGCTAGGATAACTTTGAAAAGTGTAGTAAAGCACTTCATAAACCTTCCATTGAATGGACTTTAAGATGTACAGCAGTAAGTTCCCTTATATTAACACTGGATCTCCGTGGTTGCACTTTGCAGGGGCTACTCCTCCCCAGCATGCTCAAGTCGCACCTTCTGCAGTCAGCTCCCCACCCTTTGGGGACTACCATCCTCCTACTCTCACATGGCTACACTTAAGGCCTGTTCTTTCCCTCTCCAAATCTGCTCTCAGGACAGACAGACTGGGAATACTGGTCGAAGTGTAAAGGACTCAGGACACTTGAAAAGATTTATGCCCTCTTGTAGTTTTTCTATAGAGACTTCACAGTTCCCACATACCTTCCCCTTTCTCTTCCACACACACACACAACCTCCCCACCCCAGCATTCTAACAGACACCAAATACTTCAACAAAAGGACGCATTCTTGATCTGGGGTCTGGGGAATCCAGGGATGTTTTCTTGGGGTTCTTCATTGCTCAGACATTATACCCTGCATGTTGGCATGTCAGTGCATATACCTTACAATTTTCAGGAAGTTCTCCAAGGGGCCAGCACTCAAAAACTGTTCAGGTGACATTAAACTAAAAGAATGAAGTTTCAGGTCTAGACACCAGCTAAAGAGACTAGGGAAAGTCTCCCCCAGGGTCCCTACGTTACGTTGCACGGTGGGGCTCACCACAGCAAGCATCACTGTATCTCCCCATCAGTTTTAGGGGGCTACAGCAATACCATAAATAACTTACAGCCAGTATGACTTCTTTTTTTTCTTTTAACATACCTTTAAAGCTTCTATAACAAGGTCCCTTGCTTCAAGCTCTCCTTCAAGAATACTGAACAGTGTCAGGAGTTCAGGCTTGCTGAGTTTTTCCAGATTCATTCTGAAAACCTAAAACAAAGACAATGATCAGACAATCTGCAGAAGAGAGTTAATCTGATTAAAGAAAGAAAGGAGACAGATAAGAAAACAGGAATGATTGCAGTATGAAGTGCTTTAAGAAAGGGAAGAGTTACAACTAAATAAATGCAATCACCTTCTAAAGTTAATCACAAACTGAGCAGAAAGGGAAAATAAAATTCACTTTCCTTATTGATTTCCTCACCATTCACAAAGCTCAAATTTTTATCACCTTTCCTCTGGGCACATTTACAAATGAGCATCCAAGGTCTAAGAAAGAAGTAGTCACTAATTTGGTTCATGTACAATTGTGTTACAGCTCATATTACTTAACAGAAAAATTGTTATATTATGAGATCTCCCAGCTTTAGATAAGAAAATTACAAAACACTCTAACATCCCTCTTTAATTAGTTGAAATGAAATTGGAATGATGTTTGAGATAATGGTTAGGGAGTATAGGAAAATTTTCTTCTCAACTGTCTACTTTCACAGTACCTATCACAATATTTGTATTCTGTATAGTAAAACAGGCTTGAATACAGTAACACACAAGATTTATTTATTTGAAAGGCACAGTTACAGAGAGAGAGGGAGAGACAGATAGAGATCTTCCATCCCGCTGGTTTACCACCCAAAGAGCCACCAATGGCTGGAGCTAGGCCAATCCAAAGCCAGGAGCCAGGAACTTCTTCAGGATTTCCTACACAGGTGCAGGGGCCCAGGCATCTGGACCATCTCCAGCTGCTTTCCCAGGCACATTTGCAGGGAGCTGGATAGGAAGTAGAGTAGCCAGGACCTGAACAGGCGGCCATATGGGTTGCCAGCGTTGCAGCTTTATCCACTCCGCCACAGTGCTGGCCTGACAAGTATATTCTTAAATCACGCCTTTAAATATTTTGTTTCAAAATATTGGCCAGGCAATTACAAACTGAATTTCACTTAGTAAGTTCACAGTTCTACCAAGATTTACATCTTTTGAAATAACTGTTAGCTGGCAAATTGTGTGGCACAAACTCTGTCCTTTCTCACGACCACGCACAGACCAGATTTGGCCCGCTCAGTCATCTCTGAAGGGTCTTCTGACCGGGGTGTGGAGTACAGCAACTGCTGTTTTCCCTCCCCCACTTTTTACCTCCAAACTGCCACCCTCATAGAGCTTTCTTAGAAGTGAGTAGCAACACGAGCAGTTCACACACCCTCCAGAACTCCTCACTCTTACTACGTCCTGGAGGCACCCGAGCCTTACTGATTCCTCCCAGAGCTGCTGCCCTGACTGGAAGGAGAACACGGACAGAACGCATTCCCCACTGTGGTGTTCGACTGTGTCAGGCATGATGGACAAATCTCTTACCATATGGTAAAACAGCCTCAGTGTGGCCTCAGTTCTAATGCTAACTTCCTAACGAGTGAATTTTAGCAACTAGTAAACAATTCTTCCTTTGGTAGGAGAGCTATGTCTCCTAACAGTTATTTTGCAAAGGAAAGCAAACAAAAGAAAAATTCAACAAGCCTAACAACATTACACATGCTGCAAGCTGGGATGCTGGGAAGTGCACAGGGCTTTGCAGTCAGATGCCTCAGCCGCGTTTTCCTAGTTGTGTGACTGGGCAAGGTTTCTGGTTCTCAATTTTCTGAGCTGGGAAGGGAGGATGACGACATCGAACTCACAGGTTACTCAGTAGACTGTTAGTAAATGCAGGCCGTCTTACCCAGTTCAGGAAACCAGCCAAATAATGGTGTAACTTTTTTAAAATTAATTTTTACTTATTTATTTGAAAGGGAGAGAGTGATGAGTGAGTGAGAGAGAGAGAGAGAGAAGGGGAGAAAGAGAGAATCCATCTTCCATCCTAAACATCCAGGGCTGGGCCAGGCCAAAGCCGGGAGTCAGGAACTCAATCCAGACCTCTCATGTGGGAGGCAGGGACCCAAGGACGAGTCCTGCTGTCTCCCAGGATGTGTAGTAATAGGAAGCTGGAACCAGGACTGGAGCCAGGACTTCAACCCAGCCACTTGAATGTGATGTGGGCATCCCATGGGGTGTCTTAACTACTACACCAACACTCACCTGTGGTTTAATCATTGGGTATTACCAAAATAATACCAATAACAGCCAATAACAGTAATGTCAGAAATAACTTCCACTGCCCTTTTGTAGCTGGGAACCACAAATGCACAACTGTGACGCGTCCCAGAGTGAATCCACTGTGAATCACACTGGTTTCTTAGATAAGTACCCCCATTCCTGATGGTTTCATGTTCTTATTTCCCTCCAAGAGATTATAAGGTGGAGGAAATATCCTATCATTTAATGCTCTCCCCTCCCATTTCGCTGAGCAGATAATAAGCACGTGGTAAAGGCACTCCATAAATAACATTGGCACACAGTAAATCAGCTGAGCTTAGGAGCATGAAGGCTGGAAGGGAGGAACGGAGGTAAAAATGATGGTGCTCACACATGACTCTCCAGTATTTTCACAGTCCTTAAATATTCTTTATTCATAGAGACCCCAAACTGTCACTTAAATCCAAGCACAATATGAGCAACACACAATGGACTGAGAGTATTTTAGTCTCAGCTCTGCCACTGAACACAGCAGAGGAAATTACCCGGGTGCTCTGGCTCTGAGGTTTTTTTGTTTGTTTTTGTTTTTTATTTTTAAAGATTTATTTATGCATTTGACAGGCAGAGTTACAGAGAGGCAGAGGCAGAGAGAAAGAAAGGTGTTCCATCCGGTGGTTCACTCCCCAAATAGCCACAATGGCCAGTAGCCAGGAGCTTCTTCCGGGTCTCCCACCGTGGGTGCAGGGGCCCAAGGACTTGGGCCATTTTCTACTGCTTTCCCAGGCCACAGCAGACAGCAGGATTGCAAATGAAGCAGCCAGGACTCGAACTGGCACTGAATGGGATGCCAGCACTGCAGGCAGCAGCTTTACCCACTGCACCCCAGCACTGGCCCCCTGAGTTTTTGAATAGGTAAAATGAAACAGACTAGTTAGTCTTAAGTCCTTCTTAGATCCATTCTAACATTCCAGGTAAAAATCCAGTACTACTTGTTAGAGAGTAAAATTAAATAAGAGGTAAAAAATATAAAGAACTAAATCAAATTGTACCTAAGTCAAAGTATGTGAAGTACTATGACAAATATATAGCCTTATAAAATATTAAAATCTTCAGTCACTTTAATTATGAAGCAGTTCCGCCTAGGCTAGAAATCTGTCAGTGGCACAAAGATCAATTTCTTACTTGTAATCTCTATGTTTGTAAATCACTTCTGCATACAAATTTTATGATCTGGAACATTTTACCAGTATGTACCAACTCATTTAGCATACTGCTACTGTGAATACCACACAAACATTACAAAGGAGGGGTAGGCATTACAGTGCCACGGGTTAAGCTGCTACTTGCAATGCCTGCATCCCATATTTGAGCGCCAGTTGGAGTCCTGGCTACTCTGCTTCTGATCCAGCTTCCTGCTGATGTATCCTGGGAGGACACAGATGATGATCCAATTGCCTGGACTCCCACCACCCACATGAAAGACTGGTTGGAGTTCCAGGCTCCTGACTTTGGCCTGACTAGCCCTGGTTGTCATCAGCAATAGGAGACTGAACCAGTGGATGGAAGATATTTTGGTACTCTTGCCTTTTTTTTCTTTTTGGAAATTTATTTACTTATTTGAAAGGCAGAGTTATGGAGAGACAGATGGTTCACTCCCTAAATGGCTGCAATGGCCAGAGCCAGGTAGGTCTGAAGCCAGGAGCCAGGAACTTCTTCTGGGTCTCCCACGTGGGTGCAGGGGCCCACTGAGGCCATCCTCTGCTGCTTTTCCAGGTACATTAGCAGGGAGATGGGTTGGAAGTGGAGCAGTCAGGACTTGAACCAGTGCCCATATGGGATGCCAGCATCACAGGCAGTGACGGCCCCCACTATGCCTTTCAAGTCAATGAAAATAAATAAAAAAAATAAGAATTTAAAAAATATATGGGGCTGGCACCGTGGCTCACTTGTTTAATCCTCTGCCTGTGGTGCCGGCATCCCATATGGGTGCCGGTTCTAGTCCTGGTTGCTCCTCTTCCAGTCCGGCTCTCTGCTGTGGCCTGGGAGGACATTGGAGGATGGCCCAAGTGCTTGGGCCTTGCACACGCATGGGAGACCAGGAGGAAGCACCTGGCTCCTGGCTTCGGATCAGCGCAGCGCACTGGCTGTGGCGGCCATTTGGGGGGTGAACCAGCGGAAGGAAGACCTTTCTCTCTGTCTGTCTCTCTCTCATTATCTAACTCTGTCAAATAAATTTAAAAAAATAAATAAAAATTAAAAAAAATATATAATACAAAGGAGGAAAAAGAAGGGCCACAGCTGTGCAACTCAATAATCTGTTTTTACATATTCTAATAACCTTTCTTTATAAGTATTAAAATTTAGCAATTCTTTGCTATTTGAACCTAATGTCAATATATGGAATAATGAATTTTTGTCTGAAATATAAATGAAGGATAATAAAACTGTTTTAGAATGGTGGGGGTGGAGGTGATACTGACCTGTTAATTGGCAGAATTACACTTTTGTCCTCAAGTATAAATTCTTAGGGCTTTCTTCAGTTAAAATTTGGGAAAATCGACAACTATATTTAAAATGCCATCAGCGTGGTGGAAAAGTGTCCAGTGCTGCAAAATAAGAAATGCATTGATAAATTTGGTCAATCCTATGAATTTCAGCTGTCATTATTGCAGATGAGGCCTGACAGCTGTAGGCTGACACTGATAAGAAGGAAAGAGCCAGTTCTTCTAGTTGAAGCTGCACAATATAGGAAAAATACCAGGGATCGGACTTACCTTTACAACTACAATTAAGAAAGGGGGGTGCTTGCAATTTTTTATTTTAACTTTAAAACGTCTACTGTCATTTCAAGGACTAACTTCTCAATGTCACTAGAAGAAACTGATTTTTCTCTCTTTGAATGAATAAAAGCCTATTTGCTTGGATCACAATGACTTTTGCATAACTAACTCAGAAAAATATCATAATCACATCTGAAATTTTCAAACTGCCAAATTCATATAAGGAAAATTCTCATCTCTTCACTTCCTATAAACAAACAAATCAACCAATCACTACCTCAACTGTCTATACGACTGGTTACACAGGTTCAGCTTCTATTTTTTCCTATTGCTTTCAAATATTAAAAGCTGAATTGTATGCAATTTTTGTTTATATGTTCCTAACACTGTATGAAGTCCAGGATTTAAAAAAAAAACAACATGATAGGCTTTGCCATTTATTTGATAAAATGTAATTTTTGTCTGGAACTTCAAGGCACCAAGTCTGAAAACGTAACAATTTGTTGAAACCTAACAAGTCAAATAAGGACAGTGTCAAAGGAAGAAATAATGCAGCAATAAATTCTTGATTGTTTCATTCAACCAAGAGTCAGTCTTTAATTAATTATGAATCTCTCAATTTAGAAGTGTGGGTTTTTTATGCTGTCAACAATATAGAATTAACAACATGGAAGCAAACCACTGAGTAAGTTATCCCAGCAATTTCTGCTCAATAATGGGGAAAATTATGTGGCTCAGGATTCTCAGAAAAAGGCAGTTTTAATCCCATATTTATTATCAGAAATATGATTGTGAGATTTCTGGCATGCCACACTGGTCTACAGACTCATTCCCTCATTTTCTAAATGAGCTGTTACTTGTGTTGTCAACAACCATTAAGTGACTCTGAAAGACAAGATCATTTCAACCAGATGCTGAGTTTCTCCAAGACCCAACTCTCCTTAGGGCTTAGACACAGATATTTCTGCCCAAGGAATGCCGCAGTCTATATATTTGAAAATAAAAACCACCTGTGGACAAGTTGTCTGGCTACATTATCATACCCATGGTATAGCCAGCTGTAGCTATATTATGCTTTATAGATTTCTCAATTAAAAATATATATACAATTAAAAGAGCTAAAGCCATACATATTTCCACACCCAGAAAATAAGCCCATTTAAAAGTATGAAGCTTATTTTTATGTTCCCAACTGATTTCAACTGAGCTTGCCCAGCATACCATTTGGTCTATTCACAGGCTGTTTCCCACCAAGTCAGCGTCACTGTGTCTCTTCTACATGAACTTTGATGTGCCACAGTCAAAAGAATTATGGGTGTCAAGAAGGGCATCATCCCCGCCCCACCCCGTAACTGCCGGTGCTGCATGGGTGGTGGTGTGGCTCAGCCCTGCTAACTTTATTCTAACCTCTGCTCCTCTCGAGATAATACCCAAGCTGCACTCATTCTGCTGTGGCTGTCCCAGCGTCTGCTCCACAACTCTGAATGGCTTCTACAGGATAGCACTCACTGTTGCCCTTTCACCATACAGAGATTGGCACAGAAAAAGAAATACCACAAACAGCTTCTATAGCTATGCAAGCAGTAGGGCAGGGCAGGGTAGGACAGGGTGGACCAGATATTTGTGTCTAGTATCTGGGTGTGAGTATACGTTTATGTGGGACTGAAGGCTCTTTTTTTTTTCCCAAGTGATATGGGGCCAAAAGGGAAAATAGTATTTTTAGATGAGCCTTAGATAGTTCTTGACATAGAAATACTTTTTTAAAAATACGCATATAAAAAAATCAACTCAGCTAATATATTTTTTAAAAGTCAGTTATTTTATCTAGGAGAGGTTATGGCTGCAAAACTGGATAAAAATTAGTTCTTTTTATTTATGTATTTGAAAGGCAGTTACAGAGAAGCAGAAGCAGACACAGAGGCAGAGAGAGTGAAGCCTTCCCTCCACTGGTTCACTCCCCAAATAGCCGCAATAGCCGGAGCCGTGCCAGGCCAAAGCCAGGAGCTTCTTTGGGGTCTCCCATGTGGGCGCAGGGGCCCAGGCACTTGGGCCGACTTCTGCTGCTTTTCCCAGGCCATTAGCAGGGAGCTGGATCAGAAGCGCAGCAGAAGTGGAACAGCAGCTTTGCCCACTACCTCACAGGACTGGCTCCAAATTACTTATCATATATTCAGATACCAAACTTAAGTAATTTATACTCTGACTCCAACTGACTCAGATTTCAGGCCAATTAGTAAATTTTTAGTTTTAATGACCAAATATGAGCAAAGATGTAAAGCACATTGTTCCAATTATATACTCTTTTCATGAAAATATAAGGAAAGCAAAATATGGAAGGTTAGTTAATTCTTAAAACTCAAAGAGCTGGGGTGAGTGTTTGGCCTGTGGTTAAGACACCCTATCCTTTATCAGAGTCCCTAGGTTTGACGCCTGCTTCCAGCTCCTGACTCTAGCTGCCTGCCAACATGAGTCCTGGAAGCAGTGTTGATGGCTCAAGTAATTGGGTTTCTGACACCCTGTGGGAGACTTGGATTGGACTGAGTTGTGGTCCCCAGTTTTATGCTGACCCTTCTATGGCCATTGCTGGCAGTCAGGAGTGACCTAGTGGCTGACAGCTCGCTCGCTCGCTCGCTCTCTCTCTAGCTCTAGCTCTCGCTCTCTCTCTCTGCCTGTTTCTCAAATAGAATGAAAACAAATAATTTTTTAAAAGTTTTTAAGGGCTGGCACTGTGGAATAGCAGGTAAAGCTGCTGCCTACAGTGCCGGCATCCCAAATGGGTGCCAGTTTGAGTCCCAGCTGCTCAACCTTCAATCCAGCTCTCTGCTATGGCCTGGGGAAGCAGTAGAAGATTGCTGAAGTCCTTGGGCCCCTGCACCCATGTGGAAGATCCAGAAGAAGCTCCTGGCTCCTGGCTATGGATTGGCCCAGCTCTGGCCATTGTAGCCATTTGGGGAGTGAACCTACGGATGGAAGACTTTTCGCCCTCTCTGCCTCTGCCTCTCTGTAAATCTGCCTTTCAAATAAATAAATAGATCTTTAAAAAAAAAAAAGGTTTTATAAAAATGGTGTTTTTCACAGCTTTCCACTGGATAACATACTTTTTTTTTGAAACTCAGTATATATGAAATAATAATAAAAGAAACTTGTCACATTTATAAATACTAAATCTAAATATGGACAAAAATGCACTGCTATTTTTAAAAATGTATCCAAAACAACCTCTTATCTGTGGGGTGGAGTGGGGAGTGTTGACACATTATCTTGACTATCTCAAAAGATGTAAGGTTCCCCACCACCTGGCATATCTGGTTTTCAGAGGGTCATTTAGGCATTTGGGTAAGAGAGTGACAACATTCCAAATGAACACTCTCACTTCTCTCTTGGCATTTTAAGGTTGGACTAGGGAAGAAAAACATGTCTACATGCTCTCAGAAAATAATTTCCTAATCAAGAAAGCAGATCTTTCATGCATTTGTTAAAGAAGGCTGTTTTTTCTATTATTATTTACAAAAGTACTTAAAATCAAGGTTAAAAAAATCTTATTTCATTCAATTTGCTTTTTATATTAGGCAGTGTAAGGCTTATCACCAATACCTCAAATCAAGCTACTCTCAGTTAAATGTAAAAGACACTGCCGAACTATCTGGATCCCCATAACGTGTTAACAGGCTGTCCTATGCCTCTGTCCCACCAAAATCCATATGTTGAAGTCCTAACCCATACCACTTCAGAATGTGACTGTATTTGGAGACAAGGTCTGTAAAAGGGTAATTAAGTTTAAATGAGGTCTTTAGAATGGGCCTCAATCCAGTGTGACCAGTATATTTATAAGAAGGGGAGAATGTGGATATGGACAGATGGGAGAGAGGTAAGACAGGGAGAAGACAAGCCCTGTCCAAGCTAAGGTGAGAGGCCTTAGAAGAAACCAACCATGCCAATGCATGGGTCTTGGACTTCCAGCGTCAAATTGTAAAAAATGTTTGATTTCAGCCACCTGTCTGTGGTCTTCTGTTGCGGCACCCCAGCAAACTAACACAACATGCTAATCACTTTCCACTTTTAAAGCCCATTACACCGAATAGGCTTTCTCTCGCCATCAGAGCACCGTGATATGAGGGGTCTGGAAAAATTTCCTAGAAAATAGGTATTATGACTATGCACGGGTTTCAAAAAATGTTTTGCATCCAAATAAACATCTTTTAGTGTTGATGAGTGCCCTTACATACTACTTCTCAGAATATCTGGCTTTATCAGTGGCTTTTTTCTAGCCACACTATACAGACTATAGACAGCATCATATAAAACAGCATGGTTTTGGAACACTTTTAGAGACCGTAAATTTCAAGACCCTTTGAAGGAGGCTGCTATGAGTTATCCTGAAATATCATATGAGGAATGCACAGGCAAAGAAATGACCATGGTGCTACCGGACCAAGCTGTGTGCTTACCCGACACTGTCAATACAAGACTTTCAGGGTCAGCACTGCGCCGTCCTATATGGGTGCTGGTTTGAGCCTGGGCTGCTCCTCTTCCGATACAGCTCTCTGCTATGGCCTGGGAAAGCAGTAGAAGATGGCCCAAGTCCTTGGGCCCCTGCACCCACTGGGAGACCTGGAAGAAGCTCCTGGCTTCAGATCAGCCAGCTCTGGCCACTGCAGACATTTGGGGAGTGAACCAGTGGTCTGAAGACTTCCGTCTGTCTGTCTGTCTCTCTCTGCCTCTGTCTCTGTAACTCTGCCTTTCCAATAAATAAATACATCTTTAAAACCAAAATACAGACTTTAAAGTGGCTCTCAAGAGACCAGCTCTGTAACAATGCTAATACT